TTCTTCACAAACCTACCCTCTTAATCTCTATTTAGGATGACATCATGAACAACTCTGGTACCTGGACAGGGTTTTTCACTTACGACAAGACAACCGGAAGTCGAAGTACCTTTGAAGTGGATGTACAATTTAAAATGGATGGTGCTAATAAAGTTATTTATGGCAAAGGAAGTGACGACAGCGGGGAATTCGAACTGATTGACAGTCTGTTGACAGGAAACATAATAAGATTCCGCAAGAAGTATTTGAATCAAGGAAACAAAGATTTTTCCATTAAATACGCTGGACAATTAAAGGGAAATACACAAATAGATGGAAAGTGGTGGGTTCCTGGCGGGGAGAAGATGCGTGGAAAATTTTTCATGCGTCACAAACGATACGAGGTTTGTTTTATTTGAATTCGGTTTACAAGTGATATTGTCAGAGCAAAGTTATCAGACCTGAGTTACCTCAGCAGTAACTGGTATAGAAAACCAAATAAGTGCAAATTCAGATTTTGCGAGCTAAATTTCTTCGTTTCAGACTATATTAACGATTCCTTGAATCTGTTCCAGTAGTTATTTCTAATCAAATGTTCCTTATCTGCAGAAATGGATGAACAATGCTATTGGAAAATGCAACTCACACGAGTACTGTGCTAAAGGCAAACTGGTCATCAAACCGAAACGAGGCAAGGCTGTCATGTGGTACAACCATGTGCCTAATGATGATGGTACATGGATCGGGGGACTGGATAACAGGATGTACTACGGTCACTGTGACGTCACTAAAGGCGAGAAATGGATGGCCACTAATTGGATCAACATAGATGGTGACGGGGAGATGGAGTTGAGGGCCTGGAAACGAGGTATAAACCTCATATTTGACGCTAGGAAGCACTTGAACCAGAACATTCTTCAAAGAATGCGAAGAGCTGAAGACAATAAAGCACCAGATGAGATTGAAGAAGAACTTAACAATGATATGGAGAACACCCAGGAATGGACGTTTGAATCTCGTCCGAAAGAAAGACACGTTCTTAATGCTGTTGTATCACTGTTAGAATCTCTTAGCGAAGAAGAAATGGTAGCTGTTTCGAAGAAAGTACATGAGAAACTTCAGATGCTATGTGTACCTTTAGTTCTAAACCAAGGCGGTAAAATTTCTTTAGTGGATGGAAGTAAGGCTGAGTGAAAGAGAAAACATTCTCGCCTCTAGAATGCAATTATAGGTAAAATAATTTTCGAACTTTTTTATTGTGGATAAAAAGTCATTATTTAAGAGTTGAACATTTTAAGGAAAGTTTATTAGAGGTACTAAGGGATCAGTAATTTTTCACATGGTTTTCAGGGCGGAGGGGTATCAGTCGTTGCCAACAGGGTATAAACTGACCGCCAATTAACTGGTAATGAGTGGCGGGAATCATAAGAGTATTATTTGCCTTATGTTGGGATTTCATTGCGACACAACCAAAATCCTCCAAGCCTCTCACCCCCGGCAATAACCATGATGACCGGTCCCTAGAGCTATATTGTTTATATTTCTGTACAGAGAAGCTATAACGTTGACGTTTCGTGTATAAAACCTTAATGTGTGTTGTTTTCCCATGACGGTCATTAAATATTCCTTTCCTGAAGTACATAGACATCATGTTGTACAAAGGGTTATTGGCACATTTGTTGAGAAAACCGTTTTGCGTGAGGATTCTCGCAGTAATTGAATGTAGAACGGTTCGTCAATTAGTAAAATGCTGATGCGCAAGCATACATGTAGATGGTTATGAGTTTCTTTATCAGAACCCCTTTTTTCTTGCTGATCTGGTGTACACGTGGTGACTGTGCTAAAAAATAATTTGTTTTCATAAGAATACACGAAGCCAAGTATAAAAATTGTTAGACTAAAGTGTAAAGTAAAGAAAAGAAAAAAACCAATGAAAGAAAAGAAAAACCAATGCAATCCCGGTTATTTTCGACATTTAATTGAAAATCGCTCCATTAGAAAAAAAAATTCACCTATCATCAACTCGTATATGTACCACAGAGAATTATTCTAAATTAGATGCACTGAAATGAAAAATAACTAAGCCTCCATTGTGGTCAACATTCATCATAGTAAACTCTTCTTCTCACCATAAGCCAAAGTAGTGAATGATCAAAACAAAAATGAAAATTTGAACTCTATCGAATTTTTAAAATAACAAATATGCCAACTTGACGTAGCACGGAGCCACTGGGAGATACATCAATAAACCGCATAACTCTCGAGTCTGTAAATATGGAAAATTTTCTCTACATGCTGATGTTCATCTAAACACATGAAAATCAATAACGACTCGTCTCGTGAAGGCATTCGTTGAAACTTGTTCGCGTCCGAAGTTCCCCCAACTTAAACTGTTAACTAAGTCTACATTAACTAAGTCTAATTTGCAAAAAGCAATTACAGGGTAATTGAAGCCCAATTTGCATGCATGAATAATGTAAACTGAGGAGTAGATTCTCTGTTGCTTGTGTTAAAGCCAGCTATGGCCGTAAACTGAGACAAGGCTATCAGTAAACATCTTCTGGATTAATTTAAGTTAGAATATTTTCTGCCTGTTATTTTCCCTCAAGTAATTACCGAAAGTATTCTCGTTACATACCTTGTGTAAGTCTCACGATGTGAAACTAACTCGTCAACGATTAAGCTCGTTCCAGTAGTTCCCGAAAAACCTTAACGGGGCGGTTACCTTGAGTTTCTAAATCTCATACTAGTCCCCACTCAAGAGAATCGTGAGAATAAGATTAGCAGTGTCAGGTACTTGTTAAATACCTGTTGAACCGGCATGAATAAGTTATCAAATGAATACATTATCTGGTTTGTAATGGTAGATGTTTTAGAGTGATTCAACTTCGCTGTGATTACTTCAAATCAAAGCACAATTTCGAAAATTTCGGGTAGCTTCACCGATTATGGAGATATATCTTCGTCATGCCTTCACGACGGTTCATCTATTTATCACAATGATTTGTAGCAAGCAATTGGTTTATTCAGATAACTTTCATAAGCAAAAAATAAGCGAGTGTCAAGACAACACTGCAGATTGTTCAGCAGGACATGGGGAACCTCATAATATCCATTTAAGTTTACCAAGAATCAACGGAGTGAAGGTAAAATTTTATCTACTAAATTTTCCTCAAGCGAAGATCTGTGGGAGAAAATCTGGCTCGCAAAGCTGAACTTGTTTTGAGCTTCGCTAGCTTGCGGCAGTTTTTGGCTCTGTGCTTTACTGATCACCTCTACAACTTGTGGTAATCGTCTGATCATGGGATTACCGTTATTTTTTTTACAACGGGACTGGACCACACAAAGTGATCAGATTTAAAAGGCATGAATTTCGGGCAAAAGAGTAAGCAAGAAGTTCTTTCTTGTTTATCAGATGCATGTTTATACCATGCTCCGTGGCCTTTGACTCGATCTTGTCTATTAGTAAAATCAGCCGGCATTCACGGGAAGGGTAAAAGATTAGGTTCAAACTAAAGATTAAAGTATTGTTGGCTTGAATATAACCTATAGCCTTCAAAAATGAGTACTCATTGACTTTTGACATCGAGGCAATAGACGGTGGAAAAAAATCTATCGATAGTCGGAACACACTATCCATCTCCTACCATCTGCATATAGAGGCGATATTCGCTCACGAGTGCCGACATTTCTCAAACTAAACTGAATTAATCCATATATCGAAGGCATTGAAAGGTAAAAATCCTAGCTTGGTCTTTAATTTTCTCTCCTGCATATTTCTTGCAAAGTGACAATATTTATGGTCAACGCAATCAACCGTACATGAGTATATCACGCATAAGCAGTTCAGTGCATTGCAAAGCCGTTTAGTATGTACATGGCATAATAACTCAGGAGTGTCTTGACTGAACGGTCGGTAAACACACTTTTCCGAAATATGCGAAATAAACGAACCGAGAAGTATTGTGAGTAGTGAAAATTACTGAAAATCTTCGAATGTAAGCGGTCAATAATTTCAAGCTCATTTTGTCGGGAAGAAAGGAAAAGTGTGGCGGATACTTTCAAAAAGCTTTCTGGATTAATTTTCTATTTATGCGGGAGAAACACTGTTCTCTTTATCGCTGGCATTGCAACGGCTTGTAAATCTTGAAATTTAAACCTATAATTTTCAATTTCGTTATTTGTAATTAATGAAATAGGACAAACAATCCGTTGAACCCCTTACACCCTAAAATCAGTATGCATATTCTCCATACCGTTCTCTATACATTTCCTTAGGTGCTGACGAGGAGAATTTGTTTTACAATCAGGAGCTTCTTTAGTTGGTGATCATTTCCTTATCTCGTGACCTTAATGTGTGATTCGGGGGTGATAGAAATTAGAGGCCAGTCACTCTTAGGGGTTAAAGGTTGAAACAACGGATTATCGAATATAGGTATATCTCCTCTAAAACTTGCTAGCTTTAATCATCGTCTTAATCTGAGCACAACTGTAACACAACTATAAGACTGAACATTTTAAAAACCCCACTAGTCCTTACTAAATATAATTACATTAAAGGTAGAGCCCATCCGGGTTTAATTCTAATTTATCCCACAGTATCACCTTTGCACCAAATATAAAAGTTGCAAGAATGAAGAAAATGGTAGCCACTTTCAGAAGTTCCTAATTGTCAGTCAAATTTTCCTCTTCAGTACCATAGCAAATGAAAATAAAACAGCGTGGAAATATGAATACTAATGTTAGGTGTAAAAGGTTGATTCATCGGTCTCGCTAAATGTTTTATCACCGTGGTAATATGGTAACAAGGCTTTCACCTAAGATGGTCCTCATATTTCAATTTAGGTTGGTCATGTTCAAGATATGGAGTTGACTGAGGGTACCAAGCACACTGTGAGAACTCTAAGCTTACAACCACCAGTGTTTGGTAAGTGATATAAACGGCCGACGAAACAACTAAAAAAACTGTTGGGAGTTTAGTTCAATGGATTAAATTCCTATATAAAGGTTACAACTACAAACTCAAAGCCAATATCATGGTGTCCCATTCTTAAAGACCAGTCATTGTTTATCGCCTGGTGGGGAGGGGTGGAGGATTTGCGTTTAACACATACATTAATCCAGCTACATTTTAGAGGAGTCGCTTTTGTCAGACACCAATTGTTACCTTCAATCTCTTTTCACAGAAATTCCAAATTTTTTTACCGATGAAGAATGTGAAATGATCATCGATTTAGCGCAAGAAAAGGGAATGAGCGAAACTCCGCTGACCCAAGATAACGACCAGAGCGATAATACAGATTCGATAGAAGACAAGTTTAAAGCTTGGGACAAAAATGAGGATAAATTTATCGACAAAACTGAGGTAAGAATATAACGGGTAACCTTCGTCGTTTTTTGGTCAGCGGTCTTCTGTTGATGCTTTTCTCTTTAATTCGAATTGCCGTATTTTTACGCAAGCGTCCACCAAATCAATGGTGTTAACTACCCAACTTTTACTATACGTTTCTTATCTAGGCCATTCATATATCTGAAAAAAGAAATACATATTTAACAGAAGATGATGTTCAAGAGATGTAAGTTTATTCAAACTATACAGACGTTTTGCTTATCATGCACCTTTAGTGATCTAGTTTTCTCTACCGGCTTGTCATTACTTGCGAAACTTGATACTACCGTAAACCAAACATCATTTCATGGTTAAAACACATCCGAACGACGACAGTTCTTCTATGTTCCAGGCGTTCACTTAGAAGAACGGAAAAGAAATAGTTAATGGCGCGATAGTAGAGGCAGAGCGAAAACGAGGCAGGTTGGTTCGGGTCGCCTAAAGCCTCCCTTTTTACACGCGACCTGTCCCAAACCTCTCTCGTTTTCCACTCCTCCGTTACAATCGTACCGCTTACTAATATGCTCCGTTCTACTTGATGAACGCCTGGAACCTTTACATCGACTTTAGCTTCCAGCTTTTAGTTATTTGCTGCAAAAAATGCTCAGGATTGGCAGGCCCCCATTCAAACCAGCTTGAATCGAACTGGACCAGCCTGCATGAATATCACTAATAAATAAATAAATAAAATGGAAGCTTTTAAAGGAGAACTCCTCAAGTAATAAATAAAATAAAAACAATAAAAAAATCTTGTTTTTCATTCTCGATCTCAAATTTGTTCTGCCGTTTTTTTTTTCCTCACTGAAGGTTCGCTGCCTTGAACTTAGATCAAGACAAAGATGGTAAGACTTTTCTATCCCTCTGGTCTCATTACTTCTGACTTTTATACAAAATTCAGTCACTCAAGTGGAAAAAGACGTGCAAAATTCACTATGATGATGATCCTTTTTGTTGCCTTTTTTCTTTCTAGTTAGAATTAATTGAAAATAATTTTAATTTGCTGTTGCCGTTCAAACTTCTTCATTGATAATCCTCCTTCAGCACTGCTCCTATTTCCCTCAAAGGAATAACGAATTCGATAAACAATTTTGTGAAATATTCTTTTGAAGGTAAACTTTCCATGAAAGAGCTTGAAAAGACTTCATTAAAAGACCTAAACGCTTATTTTGACAAAGAAAAATTGGCAAAACCGCGCCTGCGCAGTCATAACAGCCAGCAGGTATGGTTATGGCACGATGAAGATGAACTTTTGCAATACGAAGGATTGCTAGAAGATTATCACGACCGGTAAGGATTGATATTAGTACTTAAATTCATTACACTCGTTCATTTTCTTGACTTGATATACAAGGCAGATCTTACGCAGGGTTTTCAATAGTTGAGCCTGTGATCAGACTCTCGTTACACCAACCTATAAAACAAACTAATGCAGTCTGGTGTCTCTCATGTCTTAGACTTCAACAGCTTACCAAGCTGCCAAGGCCGATAATAGAGCAAAGTGAGCCCGTACAGGTTTGTACAGTCCTTTTTTAAAATCACTTATATTATCCCTCTTCGTTTTCCTTAACAGTTTTTTCCCGTGATGCTCTTCTCTCGTAGGTCGTACATTATAAGGAACAAGGACATTATCACTGTCACCATGACAGCCAGGCGATCTCGCATGACAAACCTTGTTGTATGTATGGCTCTAGTGATTGCAGGCTCTGCAGGTGAATGAAGGTCAACTAATAAATAGTCACTATTCAAGAATTCTTTTGAGAACCAGAATGGCAACTGAAAGTTTCCTTTAATCTGGAACTTCAGTTTTACTTGAATCTTTCGCTTTATTTCACAGCGGTATTTAATGCTAAGATAATCTAAGATAAGGAAATCCTTGAAATGTTCTCAAATGTCAGAAAGACAGTGCTACCTTAAACTGCCGTTTATAAGCCCTGGGCTTATAAAACTTCGTATGGGGTTTTAGGAGGGCTTATAAACGGAAAGACGTATATCCGAAGGGGCTTGTGACGGAAAAAGCGCGTCGAAACGAGCTACATGCAGTACTTATTGCATTTACGGTTTTTTTTTCAAATTAACCTTCAAAACCTCATAACAAATGGTATTCATATCCGTTCATTTGGAACATAATTTAAACTAAGAACACGAACAAACCTGGAACATAACAAAACGAAAGTTCAGATTTTTCTAAAAGAAGTAATAAATTTAGCTTATTGTTCCACAATAATTTTTCAAAATTTCTGTTCATCAGTAGTAAATAGTTTCTATCTCTGAAAACAAGAAAAGCTAGAAAGGGGGGGAGGCTTATATCCGCGGGGGGGGGGCTTATAATCTATTACTCCTTTTAATAACTCGCCCTAAAAGCATAATAGTTTCCACGTACATTTTTGAGAAAGCGTTTAATTTCACCTTTCAGATATCTAACGATCGTGGTCTTTCTTAACGATGTCGATGAGGGAGGGGAATGTGCATTCCCCCTTGCTGATAACACGACTTTCAGCTGGCAGGTAAACAGACGATTGACCCTTTCTAATCCAGGATCAAACTAATAATTCTCTCTTTTGACTCCTATACATTTCCACCACATCAGTTGCAAGAATCCGATGCTGTGTCAAGATGACATGGTATAACTGATAATGTGCCGATCAATTCGAAGCTTCAACATCACTCCGGGAAATCCCCGGGCACTCGACTGTCATCCGTGACCGAGGGAAGGGGAATTTGAACCGGAAGTGCCAAGTCTTTCCAGCAGAATACAAGATATAACGTTTCATGTGGAGGTGTTTAAGAAAAATAGTTCACGTTGGTGAGCGAATTTCTCAGATGAAAAGGTCTACAAAGTCAAGGTTTTAAAGCTTGGTCAAGTATAGAATATCCCCCCCGGGGGGGGGGTATTTAAACAAAACACACTTTTCAAAAGTTCAAGTACCCGGGGAGGTTTCCTAGGGATTGCTCGGGGGGTATGTTGAAGCTTCGAATTGATCGATCCATAAGTATGTCGATTCCGATCACCTACTGCTTAAGTCGGGTTAAGGCGTTGAAATCAAGGTCTTCCTCACTCAGTTTTCTTCTATCAGTAAATTGTTTAAAAAAAGTTAAATACCGAAACCGAAGTTGAAAAACCTCTCACCAGCGATAAAAACGTAAATGTTTTTTTAAAAAAACAACAATAATTTAACACGTGATTTCAGCTAGTCATTCATTACAATGTGAGACATCCATTTAGCGTGAATTCACAAACATGCCACCTCTCTAAAATCAGATTAAAAACACTCTGATAGAAGACAAAGATATTCATGTATAAGCGGTAATGTCCTCAGTAATTTCTTCGTATCAAATAATATCAGTGTTGCATAATTGTGTTCTACTAAGACCTAAAAGCGTGAGATATCAATATATTAACTTCTCTTGCCGATTAACTGTTCTTGCAAGGCGTGGTCAAACGAGTCAATTCAAAGCTGTAACATGGTCAAGCACTGTGATAAGTCAAACTTAGTGATCAAACCGCAGAAAGGAAAAGCCCTGCTTTGGTACAACCATTTGTACGATGGTTCTCGTAGATGGTTGGGTGAATTAGATCCTTTGTCATATCAAGGAAGCTGTCATGTTCAGAAAGGTGAAAAATGGGTTGCAAAGATTTGGGTCAATATTAACGGTGATGGCAAAGAAGAGCTCAGAGCGTGGAAGATGGGGCACAACTGGCTGGCTAGGAATAATTACAACAAAGAGATAGTGAACGCCTTACACTCTGAGATCCATGAAAAAACTGGAGTTGAAAATAAATACACAAGAGATATGAATAAAAATGTTGCGATGGACGTTAAAAACGAGGATCTTTCGAAAGTAGACGTTCATACTGTAAAGGAAGAAAATACAAAATCAGGTGTAAATCAAGTAAGCAGCAGCGATACATCGGACAGCGACGAGGAAGCAAGTGTTGTCAATGTAGACGATGTACCAGAGCTTGCTCCAAAAAGTCCAAGATTAGCAAGAACAGAAACATCAACGCCTCTTCCTCTCACGGAAGAGCAAATGATCCCAAAGGGCCCTGCAATTGGCCATCTTCCACTCAAAGAGTTTCAAGGCAATCGAATAGTGCAATCTATAATGCTGCTTCTGGAAGAACTCGATCAGGTGGAGCTTGAAATAATCGCGAGGAATTTGCACACGAAACTGAAACTCGTCTGCGTTCCTCTTATTATGAATCCTATGGGGCGCATCTAGAACCAGGTACAAGTACACCCATGCGTATAAGTGGTGAGCCCATTATCAATTTTCCAACACCAACAAAAAACATTTCGCCTTTGTAAATATATAAATCCATCCGTGACAGGAAAGAGAGCAACAGATTCATTATTGTCAATTACAATCTGTAAGTGACACCTCAAACAGAAATAATGACTTGAAAGAATTCTTACAATAAGCGTAGAGCAAGGATTCCTAACGGTCTGAGATGGCACGTTCACTTCTGGAAAATCTACCAAATTCAGTAACGTTCATTGGAGGTCTGTTTGAGAGCTTTGGTGCGAAGAGATTGGAACGAGACTGATTTACGAGACAGGGCGTCTCTCACGACGTATTCGCTGTCTCGACCACGCCCCATCCCCTTCCCTTTGAGATGTTAATAAAGCGTTTATTTTGGCTGCTCCTTCGTGCGATGAAGGAAAAACAGACAATAATTTTCCTGTTGTTTATAAATCTCAAGAGATCTCTTACAGAAAATTAACAAAAAGTGGTCTGAAGTCTGAGAGGTCCTTCTGACAATTGAAGTAGTAGCACCTTTTAAGGCATTACATAATAATTACACGTACGTTTAAAATAAAAAACCGAAGGGAAGTCGGTAAACGAGTGAATTAAGCTTTCCTTCTAAAACATTACCTTTTATTCTGTTTGTTAGTAATTCACCTTGACAACATCGAATCAAACATCAAACCCTGATGGTCTTAAGTCCTATAAACTATTGAAAAAAGTAAATTTTTTACATTATAACACAATCATGCTTGAAAAGGAAAACTTCACAAAGAAAACTGATTATGAGTGAATTTCGAAATTATTAGAGAATATTACTTTCTAATCCTCATCGTTTACATTAGTCAAAATTTTCAACTTGACAACGTCGAATCAAGCATAAAAACTCGTTTTCTTTTTTCCTTTTGCAAATCCGTCATTTTTTCACGGAACTTGACTGGGTCAACCCCATTGGGAATGGAGCCATACACTAGATAAGCAGCCTCATCGTACTTTCTCCTGTAAACCTTTTCTTCTATGCTCTTTTGGTAGTAGTGTTCTAGCATTTCATCATTAAGACGAGTCCATTGTGGGGTCCCATTAACTTCCTCTGGATTAATCTGCACAACTCTGGAATTTTTACCTTCTTTCAAGTTGGTCGAGTCTTTATTAGACTTGACAGGATCGCTGCTGGTATTCGAGGAAGAATCGTTGGTTTGGTCAAACGGAGTGAGTGGTGTACCAACAGCAGTTTGTGGAGGTGAGCCGCTGCACTACGAGTATATTATGATGGCTCGTTAGACAAGATAAAAGTAAAGTGGAAAACAAACCACGTTCAAGGTTCTTTGACTTAAATGTTAGTCCGTTGCAAAGTACTTACAGAATAGTTCCCCGTCATTGCCAAACCTCCGATAGGTTTGTTTACGTCCTTCGCTTAACTAGGAATTGCCGAAGAAGGGTTAGGTGACCTCGTTAGCAACACCTACTCGTCATCTTCGACCAATCATTTTCGTTAGGACCACATCTTGCAAATAAATTGTTTTCAATTTTTTAATGTCAAAATAAGCACGAACTTCTTTTTAATGACGTCACACTGTCGTCACGCGCATAATTAAGAGAGCTCTCGACCGCCTGTGAAAACAGGTCGTTGCATAACGTTAGGAAATGCAAGCGATCAAAGAGATTCCTCATAACAAAACACTAAACTCGGGGCTTGAATATCCGACAATGTCGTCTCATTTAGCTTTTACGCGGCCAACTCCCCGGATCGCCAAATCATTTTTTCAGTTATTTACGCGTGAAAAGAAAAATTTCATTCCGAGGTAACTTCAGTTATTATTTCAATGCCAAAGTAAATACGAACCTCTTTATCATGACGTCACGCTGTCGTCACGTGCATAATCAATGAACCTAAGCAAAACTCTCAGAGAGTTCTCGACCGTCTCTGAAAAGGGATCATTGCTCGTCACTGAAAGATGCAAACAATCACGGAGATTCTTCTTAATAAACACAGCACTCAGAGCTCGAAGGAACGGACAGTCAGTGGACAATTTTTTCCCGTCAACCGGGCTATGGAATGTTTTGCCCCATGACTTTAAAAACAGTTCGTCAGTGTCCGTTTTCTAAAAACAGACTTAAAACGTTTCTGTTTGGAAAAGCCCGTTTGTAACTATTCTTAGGCTGTTTCTTGAAAGGAGGCTAAATTTGTATTTTTTTGCCGATGTTGTAAAGCGCCTTTGAACATTAGGATACTGGCGCCATATAAATTTTTTATCTATTTATCATTATTACTTATTTAATTATTTAGATGACCTGACATTTTGTTTTGTCCGGTTGTTTATGCATGTGAAGAAGAATCCTTCGATGGTTCAACATTATCGGCGTTCTTGGAAAAAAAAAAAGGGTAAATACGGGTAATCCAGACCAATAACTTTATTACCTGTTTCAGGTCCAATTAGGAAAACGGAAAGAAATCGTGAACGGCGCGATAATAACGGAGTGAAAAAAGCGAGAGAGGCTTGGGTCGAGTTGCGTGAAAATGTCCATTCAAGATTCTTACATCACGACCTTGTGACCTATTGCGTGACGTTAAATACACAGTATAAGTAGAACTTATCCACAAAACTTATTTAACGCAATGTATACGCCTCAAAAGTACTTGGATGCTTCTGAAATTAAGGCTACCACATTTTGACGTCATCTGTGATGTAATAATACATAGACTGAGCAAAGCCCAAAAGCGAAGCTCCACCTATTTATTTTCCAGCCTTTCACTTTAATAAAACTCTTCAGCATTATTTGTCGAAGAATACATTTGTTCACTTGATTACGATCAGTAACAAATTATCTCATCAATGTTCAAATTTCCAAATTTCTTCTTTGATATTGCTACTCTATTGCAAAATTAATTGGCGTTATTTCAATTGCCGCGGAGTTCTTTATCGTTCCTGAAAAATAACCACGACCGCTCTAGAAGCCAAAAAACTTAGGAGACTTCGCACGAAACAGGTTCCACAAATATAGTGTGGTCACGAAGCGATTAATTTAAATGCGTGTACACTAAAATGCTCAAAATTAAAACAGAGGTGTCAATAAACAGGGTTTTCTGATCGATAGGCGGTCTAGATCTACCGCCGCCTATCCGATCTCGCCTGTCTGTTTAGCCTGCGAACAGACTCTCTAGATGAGAGAGTGCATATGCTGTATTATTGCGACGAAATTCTACGAAACAGTCACTGACTGGCTATTTTTTCCCGGTAAAAAGTTCTCTGAAATAGCATATATACTCAGTATTCGGCCAAAATGTCTTTTACTCTCGGTCATTTCCTGCTTTCTCTTCCAGTCTATCGTCCTTTATCTAATCATTTTAATTCTTTCTTCTATATTTTCTTCCTTTTTTCATGAATTTTTTTCTTTCTCCAAGTTTCCTCGATCGCAAACGCGGTTTATGTCCTTACGCCTGTAGGCAGAAGTTTTAATGAAAGCCGGTTACCAGGCCGCCCTCTAAAATATGACCTCTTGCCGCCGTCTGTTTAGCTTGTTCGCAGGTTCCCGTATTTGGGTTTCACCTCACGGCCCCTCTTCGGCCCAGTAGTATATCACATTATCGGCAGCCACTTGTGAAAAAAGTTATGGAAACCCCTGCTTATAGTGAAGGAGAGAGCGAAGAAGACACTTTTTCCCAATGATATGACAGGCAGTTGGTGTCACAGATTTCATCATACTATAGGTAACATTTTCCAAGCGTTGAGTTTCTTTTTTTACATTTTTCTATTTCTATTTAATGTTTTTTTGTTAAAGAAACCATGGTTTTTTACATTTTTCCCCTTTTCCATCCTTTTCCTCCGATATTCAAATAAGGCGTTGCAGTCCAAATTTTCCACACGTACCTAATTATAGAAGGATTTGGCTTTTTCATTTTTTTTGATGATTTGAACCTGTTTTACCTTTTCAAAACCCTTAGAGGATTTGAATAGCAGCTGTCCGAAATTTTGAATCTAGGAAATACGGAAATCTCCTCATTTGTCATCTAATCGATGATTACACTTGATGGCAGACTATATTTAGGTTAAGGAAGAAGTAAGATATTGAAACTACAAGACCTCGCACTGTTTACGGAGCCACATTTAATCCAAAATCATACGATTTCAAAGCTTCATAATAATGAGTTTGAGAATTACCCCCAGTATTGTAGTACCTGCTTCCAATAATGGAATTTAGCTTGCAAAACACGTGCTTACGGGACAAAAATATACCATAAAGACAGTACACGGTTTAGGTTTGTCCTAATCCAAAACACTAAACAGATTTCAAATTTTTACAGATGATCATACAATTTTTATCGTGATAAGAAGCTAAAACTTATATTGTCGACCATCAAACAACCTTTCTTCTTAGGAAACCCGCTCAGGTCTCTCCTCGACGCAGCTGAACCGGTTGAAACTCGCTTTGTTCGGTCACCGGTGGTCTGGCCTTTGTTCGTGTGCAGGGACCTGCAGAGACCTAAGAAAGGGATATCTATCGGAAACGCAGATTACAAATAGTCCATAAAGCACAAACTTCCCTGTAAAGGATTTGTTGTTTCAAGTCGACATGAAAAACAGGGCATATTTCGCAGTTTCTTGCACAATTTTGCTAAGTTTTATGTGGATCACCAAAAGCACTGAAGCGGGAGACGAGATCGACAAAACAAAATGGGTTCCAAAACTACGCGATCCAGTTAAGGTAAGCTGAAATCAGAAAATTCCTACATGATCATTCTTTACCCTACTTAGTTGCGTAGATATATTAATTAAAACCAACGAAATCTTTCGCAAAACATCAGATAAGTGAGCTTTGTAGTTCCATACAACTCGGGAGAGCATTTCTAAGGTTGAACGACCACGTGCGTGGTATGTCTTTCACAAGGATTATCTGATTTTAATAGAGTGGTTGATTTTGTCCAAGCATTGAAGATGGGTTCATTTGTGATCGTTATGAATCAGTTAAGTCCGCGAATTTGATTTAAGCTATTAAGGAGCTTAAGAAGGTTAAAAACGTTTTTCAGACGCGGAAGACAGCCGAAAGTTAAAAATTCTCATTCCTGATGCTCACTTCAACTTTTTGGTCGGCACAATTTAGTTTAAATTGCTAAAACGACGACCTTACGGTTACCTAACACTTTAAGAACCAATTTGAACGTCCTTCGCGCAAAAAAAATTAAACAGATTTTTTTTGTACCCGTAAATTCAAGGTTGGCCACGAAGAAGAAATGATGGTGTTTCCATTTCACAAAAGGAAGGTGAAAACTATAAGTATGAACCCGCCGATATTTGGTGAGTCTTAGATGTCATAGGAAGTAAGTTGACCAGCCAAAAATCAAATAACATACTAACGAAATGAAATGAGATTCACTTCTTTTCATGAATTAAAAGGAGAATAATTTTTTTTTCCAAACAAGAAATCAGATAAACAGCAAACTTCAATTCTGGAACGATCAGTAAAAAGAAAAATATCAGTCGCGAAAAAGACCCTGTGAACGCTAACATCAGTAAATAAATTCTCCATACCGTCC